GTCCTTGTGAATGGGAAGCAATGGAGTCACTCTGGTGAGAGGAAAGTGGCTGTTTGGGTGACCTCTTGACTCAGAGCTAGTTAAATCGCTGCACAATTGTTACTGTTATGGAGCTTCACTTTATATGAGGAGCATTAGAATTACTGCTTCCATTAATAACCGTGGAACTTGCACTAGGGACGTCAGTTGAGAGAGAAGAAGAAGGGGTAATGGAAGGAGGGAGAGTAGGAAAAGAGGGACAGTGAGAAAGGGGGACTATGAAAAGAACATTTGGCATGTTAGCATTTAGTTCTGGAGACATTCAACAGTGCACAGTAATTGATCTCAACTACCTGCATAGGCCCTGCACTTTTTTCTTTTTATTCTTTAAAAAAGTTTTAGTGCTCCTAATAAGAATCAATACATCCTTACTCTGAAATTCCCACATATACACCAAAGCCAACCAGAAACGGACAATAAAAACATACCTGGTACACAAGGAAGGAACTTTTAATTCAAAGGACACTAATCCACAAAGGGTCTAGAGTGAACATCCCAATTAGCTAGTGTAGTGACAAGCAGTCAACACCTTATTATTTAATCATTAAAGAGAATCTTGCCATAATTTCCCTTCGACATATTTCAAAAAAAAAGGAGTTAAGAACACAACACATGGCTCACAACAACAATGGAAACTAGACTTAGAGGATGCAGATGCTCCTGTACTTGCAAGGCTGAGAACAGTCTGGACAACAGAAGTTCCAGCACTGAGTTCCAGGATTGAGTCATTAAGTGGGACCCCGGGAATCATTTACAATTTAAATAAGATGTGTCCAGATGTAGGCATTTAGAAGGGAAATACCTGACAAAGAGAAGATTTCCCTGCTTCCTGCTTTTGGTGTTCAATTATTTTATAGCGAATGAAAATAAATGGCAGGCATTTCTAATATCAGTAAACATCCACTGTCTCCATCTTTTTTTTTTTTTTTTTTTTGCTAACCCAGCAGATTCAATCCATGAAGGACATTAGTTGTTTCTTAAGCCATCCCTCATCTGACACCTCCCCCAGAGGAAAACCTACGTTTCCCCAGGACACGTCAATGTACCATTTCAGAGAGAGAAAGAGGGAGTGGTATTTTTGTTTGGCTTCATTTCTTAGTCAAGTCCTACTTCAGTTTGAAGAACTGTAATCCAAAGTATTCTTTAAAATAAAACATAGTGAACTTCTGAAATAAAACAATGACCACCAAAGTTCCCAGGCCCACTTAGGAACCAAAGTGTATAGATCAGAGGCCCCAGACCCGCACAACCCAGAGGCCTAGCTACTGTCCCCTTCGTCCCTGGCCCTTCCTTCCCCCACCCGCAGAAACCTGCCCACCACGCCTTAGCATACAATGCTTAGCGCTTAGCATTTGACCTGCCTGGCCAGCCTGACTTAGGTCCTATCTCCCAGCCTTCTTTTTCCTCCTCAGAAGTCAGACGCAAATCTGGATTAGCATGCAACAGGGCAGGCAGCGGGCGCAGCCACCCTCTCCCAGGAGCTGGTAAATGCAGATTCCAATAAGGACCCTCACACACCACCCAGAGTGGTTGTTGAATTAAAATAAAAAACAAAACTGTAATCCAAAGGGAACATTTTTCTGTTTCCATCGCCCTGTGGGGAGGATCTGGGCTGCTCCTGATGCCCAGTCAGATGTCAGGCCCAGCTCATCTCTATTTGCTATGGACAGCGTGGCCACCCCTGGAAGGAACCTTGCAGACCCACTCCATAATTTGTTCCTCTCCCCACTCTCCCTATTGCTCCTCTGAGTTGAGGATGCTTAGATTCAAGGAGTAGAAAGCGCCGATCTCGGGAAAGAAGGCTATGGCTGGGCCTGAGCCCTGTAGGCTCGCCTTCTGTCTAGCGTCTGGGTGGCCAGGTTCTACGGCCACTACCTATACGCTCTCTGCGCCCTCATCTCCACAGTTGGCTTCCCTGTCTCTGGGCCAGCCCCCCTGGGACTCACATTCTTGCCGGCTGCCAATCAAACCAGACCATACCCTCGAAGCCTCCTCCCATACCGCTCACCCTCTCGGGCCACTCTAAAGTCCAGCTCGGCCCTGCACCGAGTGAGCACACCAAGGCAGGCAAGCTCCCGGCGCCGTGGAGAGAGTGCAGAGCCTGGATGGAGCACAGCGGACGGGAGAGGGCGCCCCGGAGGCCCGCGACTGCCCAAGGTGGCTCTCAGGCCCTGGGACCCTCAGGTCACCCCCAGACTGACGGGTGGGAAGTCACACAAAAGGACAGAGGGGAGGGCGTGAAGAAGAATAGGATTACAGTTTCTAGTGGTGTGTTACTCTGATACACACACATACAAAATACCCAGACCAACAACACTACACGGCCAAGTGGATTTACGCTGGTTTAGCCCTCCGGGAAACCAACTAGCATCCAGGTAGCAGCCTTTGTGCCCTCCGAGGACAAAAAAGTAAAATAAAATAAGCCTTGTCGCCAGTGGCCCCCAGAGAGGAGGGTTAATGAGCTGACAAGACCCTGCATTCACGCCACAGCGAGGACACCCAGTCCCGGGCACACTCTGCCAGGTTCGAACTGGCCGGGCTCTCTTCACAGACAGGTGGAGAAGCCATCTAGCGGCCTGGCCCCGGCCGCTCTAGGGTTACAACGTCCCTGGAGACTCGATCCAAGCTCCAGGGAGCCTGGAACCTCAGCCCTCCCCTCTCTGGCCACCTCTCTAAAAGTCAGGAGCTCACCCATGTGTGAGCAGGGCACAGGATCACGGGAGCCCCGCATTCTGCGTTCCCCTGTCCAAATCCAGTCCAGAACCACTAGTTCCTGACCCCTAAGAACAGGAAAACAGAGAAAACAAACTGGGGTTTGGTACTGTCCAACCAACTGGGGCCTGGGAGACCCCAAGGAGTCACAGAAGGCAGCCCCCCCTCCCTCATAGGCTAAGTGAAGAAGCCGACTGACTCCTAACTATGGGACTGAATGTAGGACTCCCATAGTTTGAAGAGAATGAAATGAGAATTTTTACCCAATACAACTGTACAGCAATCTTTGCATATTTCAAATTAGGGTGACTGGGTAATGAAAGTTTACATAAGGAAAAGGGAGAACTCAAAGAAATTGCATCAATTTTGCATCTCCCCAATAAATCTCATAACTTTGGTCCTTTATCTTTGACTTTAATAAAATAATGATTCGTTGAGAAAATGGGGTATAAATCTTCATTTTGGAGGCAATTAAAGTGTTGATTTCATTCATGCCCCTAAGCGATTCTTGTAATTTCCTCAAATAGCTTTATGTACCCAGCACTTCGTAGCTTTTAGAATCCCATTTTCTAGTTAGGCTTGTTGGAGTACAATTTTTATTCAACAGCAGCTACCCAAGGGTTCATCTGCAGAATCTGCATATCACAGCTCTTAGGGCTGGTCAACCAAAAGGCTAGAGAAGCCAGAAAGCCGGCAGGACTAGGGCAGAGAGCCTCTCGATTTTCCCACCTCAGCCCAACAGCCTTAGGACCGCACAAACTATCCATTTGGTACAGCGTCTACACTGCCAAAAGTTTCCGACTCACCAAACAGCAGTGAGGATCCTGCTAGTGCTTTTAAGTTCTGCCTCACTCCTCACGTAGGAGGGGGACACCAGCCTGGGTCAAGCCTGGCATTTATGCTAAGGACATGATGTTGAGAGAAGACACCTTAAGATGACAAGGAGGACGAGGCGTTGGGCTAAGGCTGCCCAAGACAGTGGCCAGCCAGCAGAGCTTGCAAAAGAAAACTGTCGCTGGCCTTTGGCTTAACAAAGGCAGGCTGGTCTCTTCCCCCAGGATGGGAGTCAGGTGCCACTTCTGAGGAGAAGAACTCGGGCCTTCACTCTACAGAGAGGGAGGTAGAGGAGGCAGCTACCTAAGTCTTTAGGCTCCTTGTAAAAATTCATAACAGAGCTATCTTAGGCCCAGCTTTATCTCACTCACTCCTCACATTTTCACTTTCATGGCATTTTTGCAACTCATTTGGACCACTCTAGAGACAGTGCAAGAGAAATAGAGAAACTAGGAGCAAACTGTGGTGTCAGGGTGACAGCAGGAGAGAAGCAACCCCTTCCCCGCAGCAACTCCAAAGGGAAGTCTTCCCACTTAGCAACACAGCAGCAGAAGGGCCTGGAGCGGAGCTGCCAGAGGAGGGGGCACAGTGAGCAAACGGCAAAGTGGAGAGCAAAGGCGGCACTGGGGGCCACACCCAGAGAGCTGCCAGGGGGACCCCCATGTTAACACTTCAGAAAACTGCCAACCCGGAGGGCCCAGAGCACGTACCAGCTGGAGGATGAGGAGGAAAGAGGAGGAGAAAAGTCCATATTTATCTGTTTTTCTAACCTCGGCCTGGTCTTATTTTTTCTATTAAGTACAATAAAATGGGCGAGCTTGCAGCGAACACTGCACAAAGCAATGTTCAGTGAGGTCTAGAAGCGTTCGGCCGAGGAAAACTGACAAGACAGGCTAATGAACCGTACAGACAGGGAGAAAATAGCCAGCATTTGCTAGATTTCAAACCCTCACTGTCTCTCTTAGACCACCTATCTTGGATTTATTCCTAATAAAATAAGAAATAAGCAGACCCTACACATTTCTTTTCTTCAAGATAGAAGGAGGAAAATGCTCATGAACAAAGCCATACAATCACAGGCGGGCACTGGCAGTTAACACTCCCATTATGATAGAGGGTAAATAAAATAAAGACAAAAATTAAAAGCGACAAGAAACAGGTCAAGTTTGCAGGCGAAGCTTTTACAAGCTCATCTCTCCAGGTCGAATCCCAGAGCCAGCCTTAATGAAGCAATAATAGCCACATTATTCAAAAATTTTCATTTCGATGGAAATGTATCTAAAAGGGACTTAATCATATGCAAATAATAAAAGGAGGTGATAGTGACCCAGCAAGCAATATGCATACAGATTTTTTTCTTTTTCTTTTTCTTTTTTTTTTTGGTGCCAGGGATGTTGAAATTGTAAAGCGCGTACCTGGTCGGTTAGGTTTGCTGATCTTGTTATATCTTCACTGTCTGACTTTGATCCTCCTTCTCTATCGTCTATCACCAAATCGATAGGCATTTTCCCTTTCAAACAGCTAATATACCGGTGGCAGAAATTGTCACATAATTCGTGTACCTACATTATGACAGAAATAAAAAATGGAAATATAATCAGGAGTACATAAATGGCATTGACAAGTGCAATCCACCCCCCTTCTGAGATCCAAACTTCCAAATAGGGGAAACACAGGGCAATTGTCCTCCAGAGACCCCCAGATGCATCCAGAATTAGGAATAACTTTCTTTTCTTGCAAAATAGAGATATCCCAGAAAATTGACAGTGACAAGATGATTCACAGGCTACAACATATTCAACACCCGTGTTAAATTCATCTGCTCCTGGGGCTGTGGCCATTAGAGAGGTGACCTGTGGGGGTGACACTTAAGGTAAACTATTTAATTTCATCCAGTTACTTTATCATAAATCCTTTTCCAAAGTGTTTAAGGAAAATATATATATATATATATATATATATATATTCCAAAGGACCTGTACTATGGTGACAGAGGTTATGTGCCTGACAAATGAATCCCTATAACATTTGTAATAATTAAGGTATCTATCCATAAGGAGAACATTTTAGGATCCTTTAAAAAAAAACCCAAAAGGAAATCAATTTACCAGTATCCATATTATACAAAAGCTACAGCCACAAAAGCTTATGAAATTAATTTTTTTTCCAAAAGAAAAGGACTGAAAATACTAAGGTGTAAGAGAAGTGGTCACTCTCAGGTCTCGGGTATCACTGACAAGCAGAAACTCACAAGAAATCCCAGCATGCTTGCAATTGAATGTTAGTTTGAATTACAACGCATTAAGTTTTTATTGCTGAGATTTATAGAACAGCTAGCAAAATCACGTTGTCCCGCACCCTTTCTGGAGTGTGAAGGTGGAGTGTATGCAGGAGTCACAGATTCAAGAAATTGCCACAGTGATCGCCCTGCTTTGTCTCTGCGAAAGGCTCCAATGTGCCTCCTACAACCACCTCCTCCAGTCTCCTTGCCGGCTCCCCCTCCACCCCTCCACCTCTTCTGTGACCTGCCGCTGCTCTCAAACTGTCTTCCAGAAACTCACTCAAACTAAACAAAACTTTTTTTTTTCCTCCTCAAAGAAGAGGAGGCAGAGAAGAGACGGGAGAGGAATTAACCTGGGCGGCAAACTCACAACAGCATTCTAAACAGCAAATAGGAAGCACACAATTGCAACTATTTACACAAAGCCAGCAAGGTATTAAGAATGAACACAAGGCGTTTGTGATCCCGGTTTTAGTGGCTGAAATTGTAATTAAACTGAGAAGAGAAATGGATGCGAAGATTGGCCTTGACACTAATTACCAGAAAGAAAGACATTTATGCAAATATCTCAGAAGCCCGAAGTTCAGCCATTCTGAACCCTCCCCTCCTGTGTTTAGGGGTAAGGGTGAAGTAAAGGGAAAAGAGGCCAAAGAAATTACCTTCTCTAATTCCAACAGATGAAACCTTAATACTTGTATGGCTTGAATCATCTGCAAAGACACAAAAAGAATGAGTGCCCCATTCATAGTTTGCAGCAAATTGGCTATCACAGCCCTTGCATCTCCAGCCCACCCCTGTCCCCAGTAAACAGAGTTATTTTGATTTATGGCAAAAACACTAAAACTTAATAGCAGTGACTGGGTACCATCTAGAGGTTTATATTTCTTAAGGAGAAAATATAGCTAAAACAACAACAAAGCATCTAAGTGGGGGTCATAAACACTCTCCTCCTCCACAGCTCTCCCTTTTCCTCCATCCCTCTGACTCCATCCCTACCCCAAAGGGGCACAAGGCTGGGCTAGATGTTTCCTTGGAATAAATGAATGGAAGACATTCCAAGTAGACCCCAACAGTAGCTTCACACGTTGCACACTTCCTGCTGCCTTCTGCACACCTTTCAGGCAAGCTGGTTGTCTAGCAGCTCTTGCCGGGTCCCTGCCCTGGTGTTGAGACTCAGGGCTGGGGAAGTCCGCAAAGTTTAAGCACATACGCTGACAGGCCAGGAGATAAATCCCGGCGCTGATTAGAGCCGCGCAACCCGGCTGTCATAAAAAACAAAAGCTCGCGTTTCCCGCGCCAGCTCGCCCAGGCCCTCTCGAGATGAATTTATTTGCCCAAGATCTTGTCCCTCAGTCACTTGTCCTTGGACCGAAGTGTGTGCAGCCCAGCCGATTCGCAGCTATGGAAAGACCAGTCTATAAGCCTCAGGGCTCTCGAAGAAAAGCTGAGGGGCTGGGGGCAGGGTGGGGTGGGAGAAGTGGGGGAGGGGAGTAAAGGGGTCAACTCTTACCAAGTTATCCAGTTCTGGATTAGAAGAAAATAGAGGTTTTTCTGCGCGAATCTAAACACAAGTGAGAAGGAGAGGGGAGAGGGAGGGGGAAGAAAAAGAAAGAAAACATTTGAAATCTGGTCCTCTTCCTAGTTGCATGCCTTATCACACTGTCGGGGCAGGATGCAGCCTTGGGAGGGGCTCCCTAACTCTGTCCCATGCAGAACCACTGCAGGGTAAATCCAGCCGAGAACCAGCCCAAGGCTCAGCCGTGCTCCTATGACCCACTAGACCAGAGCAGCTCCGGGAGGTGGAGGGTGTGATTGTATTTCCCAGACTGAGCTCTCTGCCTCACTTTGTACAGGGGGAGTGGGTTTAAGGATGCGAGAAGTTACCGCAAGCACACTTCTCTGGAAGGGTCATTTCGGGGTGCATGCAACACGCAGGGCTTAGGGCGAACTCTCTGTTGACTACTTTTCCGAATGTGCTCGCTGTGTGTGTGTGTGTGTGTGTGTGTGTGTGTGTTAGGGGAAAGAGTCCTTTTTTTCTTTTACTGTTTTTGTTTGTTTTAGAATAACATTTATTTTGCTGACCTGTTTGGCGAACACGGCTATATCTTCATTGAATGACTCTGAGGAGCAGACATCCCCGCCCGCCACCCCCGGCTCGCGGGGGGTACAAGTAGCTAATTCACATTTCTCAAAAATCAGTGCTAAGAGAGGGAAGAGAGGGTGTCTGCAAGAGAATACAACAGTCACAAACAACACAATGGTTAGTCTCCAGTCTGGGAAAAAGGGCGCCCAAGGAAAACCTCCAAGGCTCGAGGCAGAGACCCCCTCCCTGGGTTTGTCATCTCCTCGACCCCCTTTTCTGCCCCCCACCCAGGTGACTGCTCACCTCCCCTTCCTCCTAGGGCTCTGAGGTCGGTGGCCTGAGCCCGTGGACCGCATCTGATGATCAGTGCAACATCTCTGGCCAGAGAAATTAGCAACATTTGCTCCGAATCAAACCCCAGCGGTTCCAGCAGCCATCTTGAATGAAGTTTCCCACCCGACCGCCCCTGGTCCCGGCTGCTGCGCCCGACCTGAGGCCAGGCTGGGCCGAGGTCTGGGCGAGGGCAACGGAGGCCGCGGGGAGCTCAGGGCTCTGAGGATCCCGGTAGCAGGCGCCCAACTAACTTGAGCAAGGGACTTCGGCGCTGCAGGACCCTCTGTCACAAGGCTGCACCTACCTACGGACCCCTGGCCGCGGCCCTCGGCCTCTCCTCGGCTCTTTGAGCCCTCCCCTCCCGGCGCGGGTGCCCCCCACCGCCCCCCAAAGAAAGTTCCTTCAAATGTTCCAGCGGTCAAGCCTTTCATTTCGCCTCTGCGGAGTGGCAAAGCAATAGTATTGTGAAGGGCCTAGATATCGCTTGTCTCAGCCCATAAAAAAGAAAAGAGAAAAAAAGAAAGAAAGAGGAAGAAGAAAAAAAAAGCTTCTTCTAATGCCCAAGGAGGTGTCTCTAGTCTTTTATTAGCTCTCACAGCCCAGCTGGAAATTTAATAGTTTGGGGTCCTTTTCAAAGCTTCCCCAAATGTTCTGTTCCAGAGTCTAAACCATTTGCACTTAACGCTGTGGACAGAACACTGGGATTTAAACCAGGCTCTTGCATAAGGGACCAGGAAATAAAGCAGAAAGATTTTTTTTTTTTAACACAGGAAAGAGGGTCAGTGTCGCATGATGTTACAAAAAAGAAATAAATGGAAATAAAAGTTGCTGCAAAGTAAAAAAGGGTCCTAAAATTCATCAGCACACAGTAGGCGCAAGTGACTTTCACAACGGTTTCTTACTAGTTCAGGGTCTAATCGGATAGCCAGATGCCGGGAGAACGCTGTCTGAGCTGCGGCCAAAACCCTCCGGCCGAAGAGCAAGGCATTTTCTCCTTGCTAAATCCTACAGGATTCGCTTTTGAACACAAAGTGCTAAAACGACTAGAAGTTTCTTAGTGTCTGTAACAATTCAGTGTAAACCTCTCTCCTTGACTTCAGTGGTCAAACCCCCTAAATGCAAAACATGTTCCCCCTTGCCTGACCTGCAACTGTCCTCCCTTGGCTGTATTGTGCAGTGGCAGAGGCAGCATACGGTTGCTGAGTAAACTTAGCAAGTCAGAACAATCAGTGGCTTAAAAGATTTTCCCTTAAACTAAAAGTTTCGTTCCAACACAAAGGCGCCTGCAGTTTGAAACCCCCAGAGCTCTGGAGCAAAGTCGAGCAAGGGAGCACTTGGACCCGCTGAACTGGAGGCTGAAAGGGGATGTAGAACCTTTAGACAACTTCTCCCAAACTGGGACCCCGTGGTGGCCACCGCAGCGGCGAGGCCGGGCGCTGAGCAAGCCCAGAGTGCGAATGGAGGTGGGGAGCGCCGGGATGGCAGGCCGCCTCCCCAGATTTTTCATGCATTGTGAATAAATAGTCACCAGCTACGGACCTCCAATCCAGAGAGGTCTGACTTCTCCTCATTTGGAGGGCATGGGGAAATAGGGAAAGCAACGCACTTCAACTCTTTAACTGCCGCCCATTGTACCTACCCATAAATGGCATCTTTATCTCTCTTTAAAGCGTCATTGACGGAGGAGCCCATGCTGGGGGCCATGGCGTTGGTATGAGCTGTGTGCGGGTACTGATGCGAGTGCAGAGGAGGCCCGTGGTTCAGGTGGTGGACCGGCTGCATGGACCTAGCCGCATGCGGGTCCCCATACATTGTAGAAGGGATGCCTACTCCATCCATGCCCCCGTAATGGGGTAGATCGTCGTACTGCATGACAAACAGGAGAGAAACAAGGTTCAGAAGGCCAGGCGGGCAAATAGGGGAGAAGCAGGGCTCGGAGCTTATATAAGGTCAATCCGGCTGGGTCTTTCAACCTGGATTTTAGTGGCCTTGTATTTCTACAGTTGAGATTTCTATTTTTAAAATAAATTTAAAGTAAAATTTCTAGGATTCTCAGTTTCTAGGTTCTCAGTAAGACTCCACTGACATTAAGCTTCTTGCCCTAACTTGTATCCCTATCAACTAATTCAGAAATTCAGAATCCTTTGGCAAGGAAGGAAGGAAAAAGGAAAGAAAGAGAAGCATTCTCCCAGAGGGCGGAAGGTAAAACGTGCATGTCTCTGGGGGAGGAAATTGAAAATCACAATAATAAAACGTGCCAGGACAGTGCAGCAAACCGCCTAGTTTCACAGCCCCTTCACATCAGGGGGAATTAAAAAAAAAAAAGTTACGATGGGAACAGCTCCGCCAAGCACGTGAATTCAGGCAGGCTTCTCATTTTATTTTCCTGCCAGCGTGGGGCTGGCCAGTTCAGCAAGACACTACATTTTCTGTGCTTTCCAAGACAAACTCTGCTAAATCATACAAAACAAACTGACCCCCTTATAAGTAAAATTTAAATAAGGGTAGTTTTCCCTGTACCTTACATATGAATTCAGAATTGGGCACCCCCCCAAGTTAAAGAAAACCTATAATTAAAACAGTTAATATTTTTTTATTAACAAAACTTACAAACTTTCTCCCAGACTACAGATCAATGAGGCAAATGTTATTCATCAGATTTTAAAAGTAAATTTGAAACCAAATGCACATACAACGCCTCATCTTTCTCATCTAGAAAAACTACTTTCACAATGTCATTATTTTTGTGCTACAGTTAGCTACTCGTTTTTTTTTTTTTTTTTTTTTTTTTAAATGCTTCATTCCAGGCTAAGTCTTTTTCCCAAGATTTGAAGGTGCCTAGAGTGAAATGATTTTCAAAGAAAAAAGAAATTGTCACTTTCATCTGCTAAAACCAGAGGTGTGAAAAGAGTTTGGAAGAACGCTGACATTTGCCTAAACCAAAGGAGTAAAGAAAAAATGTGTCAGCCTAGTAACTTTCTTTTGCAAACAGGGCTTTGAGGGCCAGGACACAAATTATGCAAGGAAGGCTTTTTGTAGAGCCCCTTTCTTTAAGAAACTACCTCAGTTGGATTGTCATTGTCTCACTTTACTCTCACTACATTTCCATTCAAATAGGAATATTGGGGAAATTAGTATTGCATTTTAAAAGTGAGTAGCTGTGTGCTTAGTATCCAATTAGCACAGGACTCATCTAAGAAAAAACTTGCAAAGTAGTGGCTTGCATAAAAATCCATGCAAACTGATATTACTTTAAAAAGTTGACTGTTACTCCAACCAATAAAACCACACAGAGTACTATGACAGTTATTTGCTTAAAACGCTAAATACTTCAAATGATACTAAAGAGGACCATAATCAATAACATATCAGAAGTTTCCAGCTGCTTATTTTAGTTTAAGTATAAACTTTAAACTTCTGGTCCTTGGATTCCCCAATTACAGTATTTTGTATCTAGCAGTCTTTTTTAACAGATGATTGCTGGAGCTTGTATTTTTATTTAGATAGCTGTTGGTTAGGAATCTGTAGAAAACTTGATTATGTGAATTAACAACTACAAGTAACGTACATATGCCTAGAGATGCATTAAATAAATCCTCTCTTGTTTAGGCCACGGCTTTAGAAGCCTCATTCAAAATGAGAGAAAGAAAAAAGGAAACTTTTAAACAGTGTCCACGTTTCAATTTAATCTCACATTTGAGCTCCACAATTGTTTTTAATACGTACCCTTTGCGCCATCGGCCTCTCTGGCTCCCTTCCTATTTCAACTTCTAATATATCCTCTTTAAGGCCAGTGTGAAAAGAAACAAATACGCAAATTCCCCCGGAAAAAAAAAAAAAAAGCGCGACGAAAAATCCCTTAACGTCGTCTCCAGCAATGTGAGCCACTGGTCCCAGATCTTCGGTCTACCGGACCTGAAGCCAAGCGCCCGAGTCACTGAGCATAAAAGCGCTCCGTTTCCAAGACAGCAGCGGGGGCAAAAAGAAAAAAAAAGGGGGGGGAACAGATCTTCTCTCCCCAAAAAATCAGCTAAAAAAAGAGAGAGAGAGAGGAAGAGAGAGGGAGAGAGAGAGCGCCCCTCAGACCCAACTACCAAATCTCATGGCTTTCTGCCACTCCAGCTGTCAATCACAGGCGAGGTTGTCAACGTGGTGAATGAATGATCATCCGCTCTGTCTTCTTCTGGTCAGAACACCTCAAATGTTAATATTCAAATGCACAAAGCCCTAGCGCTCGCTTCCCTTGAATCAGTCCTAATTCCTAATCAGTTTCTCTCTTCTCTCGCTCTTTCTCTTTCTCTCCCCCTCGCTCCGTCTTTGCAACTGCTGCACTGGAGGGAGATTAGAAGAAGGAGGGTCAAAAAAAAATGTCTGTCTGAGTTTGTCTTAAAGGAGCCACGATCGATGCTGTCCGCTTGCAGTCCCCGTGCGTGTGTAAAGTGTGTGTTGCACAGGCGGAGAGGTGGATTCCGACCAGAATGCTAGAACCCGGAAGTAGTGGTGGCCATAACAGGTCGCGTCTTACACAATGCATTGGGCTGCAGCAAGTAGGCTCCTCCGCAGGGGTGGGTGCGCGTAGCGAGCTCAGTCCGCACTGGAGAGGCAGAAAGGCGCTCCATTAAATCGCACGCGCAGGCACAAACACCACCCATCCCGAGCACACGCACACAAGCGCAGGCAGCAGCGCCCAGCCGCCGGTTTTATTTTCTATATTCTTTTCCTCCCCCCCCCGTCCCCCCAACGACTCTCTACCCAAAGCTGTCTCTCTTGAAATAAACTGGGAATAAACGCGGGCCAGGCAGCAGCGGGAGTTATTTTGCACAGGGCTCCGCGCATAGACTTCAAGACTTTCCTCGAAATTATTGGGGTCTGCCAGTATTTTGTTCCGGGGAGGTGGGTGGTGCGCAAAGTGCTGGATTCTCAGAACTGGACGCCCCAAAGAGAAAAGTCAATCCGAGAGCACGAAGAGCTGGAGCTGGGCTAGGAAGGCTCTGCTCGGAGTCCCAAGAACGTGGGGCGGAGGTAGCTTGAGATTTCTGCAGATCCAGCTTAGAGTTTTTCGCTGTCAGAGGTGGACGCCCGGACGGAGGACAGGAAATGCTTGCATTTTGTCACTTTGGGTCTGGACGCCCCCACCTCGCCCCTTCAGTTCCAGCCCCAGCCAGGGCGCCCCGCAAGGAGTGAGAGAGGAAGGGAGGGAACAATGAGCCGGGCTCTGGGAATGTGCCCCCAGCGCCTGTTTACAAACACCAAGCTATTTATGATCGCCGGAAAGCGAAACCCGACGCGGGCTCTGCGCAACCGGACCTCGCGGGCGGGCGGAGCCGGGTCGCAGAGCTGGGGGAGAGGCTCCTCTCCCTAACCCGCTCCGGGCGAGGCAGCCGTGCGCCCAGGGCGCGGCGCGACGGGGCCGGCGCGCTCCGCTCAGGCTGCGGCCTCGGCGCCTTTGTCTTCGAGGCGCCAAGGGGCTTCAGCCGCGGCCTCGCCAGGGCCTGGAGGGGCTTTGCGCCCCCCGCTCTTGCCCTGGCGACGCCCTGCGCTTTCCTCCCCAGACTTCTGTGCTCATACTCCGCTTTCCTGTTCCCAGCCCTGCTCGGCGAAAACTCCTGATGCCAGAGAAAAAAGAAATCCAGTTTGGGAGCTGAGATTTCAGACAAAAGCTGCCAGTCCCCACAACTCCGAGTCTCGAGCCAGTCCCTGATTTCAACTTTCTCTGTCTCGATACCTATTTTCTGGGCTTAAATACCTATGCCCTTCTTTTCATTCTTCCACCCTAAATTTGCCCTTTATTATTATATTTAGTGGGGGTACTTTTGTCTTTATTTTTCCTGCCCGCCTGGCTCCAGTCTGCCGAGGCGCCTTAGCCCCAGCCGCTGGAAAGCTCACATCCCAGGCAGGGCTCGCAGCTAGCTCGGCTCGGAGAGGATTCTCGCCTCCTCCCTCCAGCTGAAACCTCGCAGAAAAATCCCCCTGCGGTCGACTGGAAAATGAGCTCACCCAAATCTCGGTAGGCAGCGGTGGAGGAGGGCCCGGCCAATCAGGAGGCGCCCCCGCCCCGGCGGCCGCGCATTGGCTGCGGGGAAAATCAATTATCAAATAATCGATCAGCAGGGAGCTTCGATCTGCCGGGAATGCTAACTGCCAGTCCTGATTCCCGCCCTGACGGTGGCCAAAAGGCTGACTCCCTCAAAGCTGCCCGCCCGCACTCCCATTGCCCCCACCCCCATCTCACCCTACAGCTGCGGACCAAACCCTCACCCTGGAGGGGATAGCTGGTGGAAAGAATTCTGAGAAGGGTTAGGGCCCCCCTTCAAGCGGAGATTGTTTGGAAAAGTTAGGAGCTCACAAATGTGTTGAGGCCAACTCATAGGCGCAAAGGAAGGGTATTTGCATCCGCCCGCGAAGTAGCGCTCAAGTTTCTGTTGAGTGGGCTTCCGAGGAGCAGGGGAACCGGGCGGTTGTGTTCCACCGAGCGCTAGTGGGCTCCCTAGGCGACATCAGCGCCGGGCTGCTTCACCCCAGCCGAGCAGCGACCGCGCAAAGCCGAGCAGACGACCTTCCCAGCCTGCTGCACACACCCCCGCCCCCAACACTGAACTTGCTCCTTGTGTGCCCGAAGGGTCGAAGGGTTGACACGCGTTCCCTAAAACCTTCAGTGCGCTTCGAGTTGCAAGAGATCAATTGTTCAAAGAAGGAAAATCCCCCAGGACCCCTTAGCATTTACCTGTCCCTGCTTTCTTATTTTTTTTAGTTTCTGTCTTCTGTACTCAAAGTTTATAATGTTTTACTTTTATTCATCCTATACTTGTGTGCCATTTTCTGATACAGTTACCCTGACACATCGCTCGGGAGGTTGAGGCAGGCCTGAGAGTCAAAGCCAAGGGCGGGGAAAGCCAAGTGTGTTACCAGAGCCAAAGCCCAAGTCTGACCCTCCACTCCCACCCCAAGTGAACTTGAAAGCAGAATTTCAAGCCAACATGGAACCTCCTGAACTCAGGAAAGCGACTGTTGTTTAATTTCAGCGAAGCTGAGCGGGCTAGGCCAGGCAGCGCACTTCTTTTCCGAGTATGGGAAGGACTTTGCCGACCGGCAACAGCTAGCTCTTTCCTAACTTCAGAGTGCCCTGGGGGACACCTGAACGCCTGAGAAGGCCGCTCCAGGGGTGGGAGCGAGCTGGGTCTCCCCAGCAGGCCTGCGGGGGCTCAGCGAGGCTGGGGGAGGGGCAGGAGGGAGGGGGCCCAACCAGAGTGCAACGCGGCCGGTCTACGTTCTCTGTCCTTAAATGAGCTGCGAGGGAAATTATGTAAGTATAATTTAACTGAGAAATTTACTGTGAAATAGATTCCGTTGAACATGGTCTAGAGTTTCTTGGTCAGATTTAGGTAATGGGTTTAGAGGTACCTCAACGTGCGTCCACCTTTTCAAGTTTCGAAAAGATATATATATATATATATATATATATATATATATATAACGTTTTTGACAACAGGATTTATTTTATATTGTTACTTTCCAGTAACTTTTTCTGTTTTCTAACAGAAATGAAAACAAAGGACGGTTCATGTAAGTCCCTCTTTTCAAACATAACCAGTATTCTTCCGAGCAGGAGGAAGATTACGTGTGCTTTAACTACGATGTGTTAATTTTACTTTAAAATGTATTTGCAATTACCTACACAAAGATTTTCTTTAGAGACTGTGATACTTTGAGTTTGCGAGCTTAAACTCATCGTAGTTTTGAAAAGTGTCTTTCCATTTATAACTGCAAACCTAATACTCGTTCTAGGCCTTTATACGATTAATTCTGAACAATCAAGGGACTAAAACACTTTTACAATGTAATTACAGTAGTACAAATTGTTTGCCCAAACCTCATTCTGGATAAGGATTTTACAATTAGCAAACAGTTATTACAGTTGGTGCTTGCTGAGAGAAATTGCAGAAAGGACGTCTAGAGTTGCAATATAGTAGCCATAAAAAAAAAAAAACTCCTCCTTTAGCAGGGTAGCAGTTAATCAACTATTAAAAGGAAAAAGTGAAGGGACAGTTGTAGGTACAGTATCTTGGTAAACTAATGCAGACAGTAATGTCCGCTCTGTGTCAGCACCTATCCTAAGCTTATTTCAGATAACAGTTTTTTTAAAGGTAATATCTCTTTTATTTTGCTAAAACCTGGTCTGGGATCGGGTTCTGGCCCTTGGCCCCAGCTCTTATGATGCAGGCCTTCCAATCTGTTTTCCCTTCCAATCCCAGAGCATCTTCCCCAAGATAGAGAACAGAGACCAAAAAAGAGGCAGGCTGAGCCCTTGGTCTCTATTGTTTACACATCCTGCAGGGAGACATTGAGAGCAAGCAGTGCCCCTCTGGGCTGTTGGTATAGTGGCTTGGGAGAACTCTGCTGGAACTTTCTGTTCTCCTACAAGGAATTGTGTCTTTGGAAAGGCCCACATCCTGCATTAGGCTTTTGTCTTAAAAGTTCACACTGATGAGTCAGCTCAAAAACCCTCTGAAATTAAAGAGGCACCTCTTAAGGTAAAATGTGTGTGTATTTGCCGGCCCAGAATAAACAAAAGTCCGTTAATCAATCGAGTATGGCAGCTGTGTTCACAGTGTGATAAGGCTTTATCATCTGCCACCTAACTTTAAGATGCCTGTTAAAATGTTGTGATTGCCTTTTAGCTTGTCCTGTGGTGTGGGGGACTGAGGTTTGCACTCCAAGAACATCATTCCTCCGAATCTGTTCCCACATTAGTATTTGCATTTCAAAAAAAAAATAGAAATAAGGGGAAGGGAGTTTAAAGAAAATAACATTTGAAATCTAGTAGAGATACTAGAGGAATGTTGGAGATAAGAGCCTAGATGTGATAGGAGAAAGGTACTAAGAAGTCAGAGCTAATGAATGGCTTCCAGAAAAGTGAAATAACCTAGTTAGAGGTCTCGGAAAAGGAGAAATCTGGTTAGATGATATGAAGGAGGGTTAACCAGAGGGATTAGAGAGGATGTTAATCAAGCGCCCCAAAACAATTCAGGCTATACAGACTCACAGATTTGTTTACTGCATTTTGAGAAAACAAAGAATGGCTGATTCAGTCAGAAGTTGAGGAGAGCTCAGCTAAGGCATTTGGACCATTGCAGGGGAAATACCTAACTTGCTATGTTCAGATCTGACTGGAAAACGCAGAAATTTAGAAAAAAAAAATAGGGGGAGGGGCTTCCCTCACTACTTTTCTATTTCAAATCATTAAAATGCCTTGGTCTCTAGAGGAGGAAAAACTACACTGGTTAACATAATTACTAGCTCTGACATTTTCAGAACTTATAGAGGTCTTTTATTAATTAAATGGAGGGCTTAATAAAATATTCCTAATAAAATTTATGGTTGTCTTAAAACTTTCTAAACAGTGCTATAAATTCTTAATAAAATTAACTGGGAAATGAGTTATTAGCCCACACTTTACCCCTCCCCCAACTTCGACATAAGAAATGTCTGCAGAATGGAAAGAAATAGAAGCCTTTTAGTAAAATATAAATATTAGCTAAAGTCATACATTGCACTAGAAAAGGCTAAGCCTCAATTGTGATTTCTATTGGTCTTGTTCTACTATAAACCCCTGAAACTACCTACAAAGCTTCATAGAACTACTGTATTTTACTGTATTTTGTATATATGTACATATATGTGTACATGAACCTATTTGAAACAGTCTTTAATTTTCTGAACTAAGTTGTGTGTTAAATGTTGTTAAAAACCTTAAACTCTTGCAAAAGCATAGACTCACACAAGAAGCATAAGCTATAGAATCTTGATGGCTTAGGATATAAATACTTTTATCCATGAGAAGATAATTAAAATGAAATCTTATAATTTTTTCAATTTAATTTCTTTAAAGATAACCTTTAAACAATTTATCTGAACAGTCCCCCTTAAGAATAGTAGATGTATTTTGGGAAGCTGCATTTTGTTGAGCTGATATATAAAACTTTTCCTTGGCAGGTTATCTTAAGCGTTGATATACTTCTTTGCTTCACAGATCCAATGCTGGCTGACCTGCTGTATAAAAGCACACCACACTGGTATCACTCCAAACCTAATCAAACACCCTGGGTGAATTGTTTAGCATTTGAAGGCTTGATCTTTTGTGCCGTCTACTGGACAATGGAAAAACTGCAGTCTAGATGACAAACTTCCCTTGACCAGTATTTAAGGATGGAGGAGGGGTAAGGGACGCAGGGGAG